TTCAGTAATCTTAAGCAGTTACTAAGCTGTCTAAAAAGCCTGTGCTAGTATTTTTCATGTTGCCAACACTTCTTCTGAACCAAGCCTAAAAGATGTGTCTTTGATATAAAGAATTAACATATACCAAATAAACATGAGATCAGTAGAAAGCATCCATCACCTTACAGCAAAGAAGGCTTTGTTTCACTTTGAACGTGCTGTGTTACAGCAAGTTTGTCTTTCTCAGAATAGCTACGAATTTACTATAGAAACAGTATAAGAGCATCCTGCCCTGAAACAAATAGAAGAATTTCCCTTACATAAATTAAAAAGAGATTAATGCTGCCTGCACTTGATCTTTCCATTGGTCAGCGATTAAGTTTCCCTAGCAAGTATATCTGGAATGAAAATAGAACAGTTTCTTTTTTGTCCCCCGTGGAATTGTCTATGCTATGGCATACCACTGGTAAGATACACAATCTTCATGAAGTCTTTTTAAAAGCATGCTCTTCCAGCAAACATGTCTGGTCTTCAGGACTGACATTTCCCTATAGTCTTGCTTGGTTTTGTTGGCTGAGTCCAGAAAGACAGACATTTGAAAAGATTGTCTTTTAGTTACTGTTAGGGGACTACATGATACAACTGTCTGAGAATAAATATTTGTTACACAATTTATCTCCCCCGCCCCCCCCAAAAAAAAAAAAAAAAAAAAAAAGCGACTGCAGCTGCAGAAACTCTGTTGGTATTCCTGAGCAATGTTGGGTTTGTTTTTTTTTTTTACCCCATTTTTGTCTGACATCCATATGAAAAGGAAGCAGCAGATTAAGCCCAAAGGTCTGAAATCATGTTTTTACCTGTGGACCATAGAGCACACTTATCCTCAGTGCAAACTTCTTAGCATTGCTGGGTCCAAAATTTTCTAGCTAACACCTTTAACATTATAATACATTAAAACCCTTTCATATGATCACTGTATTGATCCTCTTCTGGAAAAACCTGTGAGACCACTGAAACCTTTTTAATTTAGAAAGGATACTGCTTTGATTTTGTGAAGGAAATGTTACTGTTAGAAGACCATAAATCTTAGTCTATGAATTATGAACTCAAAGGACAAAGTATACAATAAAATTAAAAATACTTTGTGTTAGGTCTATCATGTAGTAGACTGTGTTTCTCTTCAATGTTTGTTACAGCACTGG